TTAAGTAAAATGTCATTTTTTAATGAAATACAATAAAATAAAATTTATTTTAGGTTTTAAATAACTCAGTGAAAATTTATTTCAACATAACCCCCCTTTATACGTCCCAATGAATGGAAGCCAATGCAATGTTGTGAACGCGTGCGCTTGTCACTTGATAATTAGCCCTCAACACCCCTCCAAGCAATTAAATTGTTTACCGACAACAAAGCATTGTTTTTACAGTTAGAGCACTGATTATTTACTGCCCTTATTAATGGCTTTGATTATTTTCTTTGTTAAAAATCGGGGGTTGGTTTATGATCTTTCGTATGTATAAGCGTGTGTTGATTACGACACTTTAAACAGTTAAACGCTTGTTAAATGTAATTTTACTTTATCTTATATCAGCCTCATGTTAAAATGATTGAGAGTTTAAAAAGGAAATATGAAGTATGTTGAAACTTAAGTGTTATCATTTACTCTAGTTAGAATAATCTAACTGTGTCTCGGGACAAGCCCTCACCACAATTAGAATACGTCCCATATACTTGCAATGTAGCAAATCAGAGTGGATCCACTCCGAAATGATTTTGAATAATACAAAAGGAGTTGCACTGAAAATATCTACCAAATTAATCACAACAAACCTTTTTGAGATTGTATATGCCTTTTAACCTTAAAAATAATCCATATAAATACGAAAATTCAACTCATTTTCTCAACCTTTTTTCCTCGCTTCAAATTTAACGCCATGTTGACATTCAAAACTCTCTGGATTGTTCGTAGAAAATGCACAGAGTTCGAGTTATATTGCCTGTGTTTATTTTGCAACATTGCCAATACACGGAACAAATTCTATTGTTAAACCAGGTCCGTAGGACAATATCATTTTAACGATAGATTATTCTATCTACATTTCCTCGTGCTCTGTAGAAAATAAGATATCCACGAAGATTACCTCGATGTATGAAGACATATATCCCACCTTTGTACATCATTTTTCACAGCTTTGGAGGTGTGTTGATAACTATGTACACTTAATACACTTGTTAAATTTTGATTTTATAAATCAGCTATTTATTTAATTAATTAATTTCAAGTTTAAAAGAGGAAAATCGTAGTCTATGAATACTTTGATGTTGCAATATCGCTTGCCCTGTTAAATTTACATAATTTTCAACATGATTATCTTAAACTAAAAATAAATATGACAACTGTTAAACTTGCAACAATATCTCGTGCTTTTGTTGAAATAAAATTATTTCCACAAAGAATAGTTAGAATACGGCGACGTATAATTTCAGTATGCTAAAAAAAAATAATAATAAACTCTGTTAATACTTTAATGCAACATTATCTCGTGCTTTGTTAAAATAAATAATTTCCTCCAGATTTTCGTGATATGGAAAGTCAAGAATAAGAACTAAAATAGGCATTTGAATAAAATATGGTGTTCTGTAACATTTCGGCACTTTATCTCCATGCCGATTTTCATAGCAAATTACCACGATTTTCAAAAGTTCAGAACACCGCTTGGTAATATTTTCTGCTGCGTATAATACAACCGAACTGGGTTTTTTCCCCAGTTTCAGGCTCAAAAAGGGGGGTGCATATTTTACACCAATGCGTATTATATTCGGCCAAATACGGTATTCCATAATTTAAGAAGTTACAAGTTCTTACCGCTGTGTACTTATGAATCGACACGTTGTGTACAACTTGTAGAATTAATTGGTATGCAAAACTGATGACGTAAATCGCAGTAAATTAGGGGATTTCCCTAGCTACACGTACACGTACACGGTCATCTGCTTAACCTCTCTATTAACACATTGAATACCATTTTGTTTGCAGTGTCTGTTTATATCTATTCTAAAACTATTTAACACACCACAAAATACTTATGAATTTCTAGTCTATACAATGCTGCATATGATCTTTTTAAAATGTTACAAGTTTGAAAATGTTTCTTGGATATACATGCAAGTTAGATATGTCACATTTTATTCTTCACATAATATTCGAACATCTTTTTTCGACTTCCATTGTTTTATCACATTCATCGAAGGTATCAACATTGTACAAGAGAAATACTGTTTAGTACCCACAGAGAAAGTGACAGTCCTGTCAACATATCCTCTAGTAAAATTAGGCTGATCATTTCTTAAATTTCTTTTTAACTCCAACTTAAATTCATACTCTTATTGATTTTCCTGTTAGCTATGGTTGACTTGGAAAAACTATCGTGTATAAGGACAAAGTATTCTGAACTTCAATTGATCATGTGTTCTTATCTTTAAACAAATGAATTATTTTTGTTAAAAATAATTTTTGATGATATTTTATTAGGCTGGACTTGATTTCTTTACTTTCAGAACAAACACTAGATTCTTTAGTTATAATCAGTGATCCAGTGAAGTCCAAGCAAGGGGCAAACTTTCCAGTAGAGCCATATGTGGTGCTGGAATTACAGGATGCAGCAGGAAGGAGAATCTTCTCTGGAAAAGATTCTAATTTGGTAAAATTTATAATGAATCTTTCATTGTTATGTAGTTCTAAATTCATTTCTAATAAGCTTTGTTAAGCATTTAGTTGGAGGTAATGCAAAGGAATTTAATTGTCAGATGCGCATTTAATTTATCTGCATAAACATGTAATAACCCTCTAATAAGGGAGAAAACGTCCAAGTATGTTATCCATCAATTTGTTTCATCAGGATTTACTTAGTAAAAATTTTATGCCCCCGCCATAAAATGGCCAGGGCTTATAGTGTTACCCTGTTCCATCAGTCAGTCATTCTGTCATTCAGTCATCATTCACTTTCCATTCATTATCTCTGCAACAGTTGCACACATTCAACTCAAATTGACATGTGGATATGTCATAGGAATATGCAGGTCAAGTTTGAATTTGGTCGTAATTTTCAGTTTCCGCTCTTTAACTTTTGTAGGGATATATGTACAGTACAGGCAATGCGAATCCCGTATTTCCCGTGCCCTGTCGCGGTATATACACAACGCGGAATTTGGTCAGGTGAGACAGGTAAACCTCCGTTCCCTCCGCGGGAAATTCATTACCTACCTGTTCCAGCCGCAGTTAAATTATCTATCAACTAGTATCGTAAACAAACGGGAGTTACCTCCCCGAACAGGAATTTTGCGAAATTCCCTGTTTTGAACATATTCTATTGAGTTAAAAGATTGGAAACAAGTTCTATACAACTTACTCGGTTCCTCTCATTATATTTTACAATATATCATGCAAATTAAAAGAAAAATAATACAGTGTACAGGTGAAAAAGCAATTAAATAACATATCAACTATAGAATATACATGTTTCGTCAATAAATTTATGAACAGCAGCAAAATTCCCTCTTTAAAAAAAATTAAAGATCTTCAGTGTATGTATATTTATGAAAATATTTTCTTTTATTTTGAAACAGTGAGGTGAAAATAATAAACATACATCAAAAAAGAATTTGTAAAGCAGAAGATATTTTAAACGTTTTTATTAGGTCACCTGAGTCACTCAGGTGACCTATTGCTATCTCTTTTCGTCCGTCGTCGTGCATCATTCGTAAACTTTTGAACATTTTCAGCTTCTTCTCTGGAACCAGTGAACCAATTTCAACCAGTTTTGGCATATAGCATCTATGGGTGAAGGGGAACAAAAATTCTGAAATTCGTGGCCCCTGCCCCCCTGGGGCCTGAGGGGTGGGGCCAAAACCATCAAAATTAATGCAATCTTTAAAAATCTTCTTCTTTACTCCTGGACATCAAGCAGTCAAACTGTTGGCATGATTGTAATAAGCATTGAGCCCTCTACCAAAATTGTGAAATTCATGGCCCCAGGGTCAGGGGTTCTGGTGCTAGGGCTGGGCTATATAGATCATATAGTGAAAGTGCATTATTTCTTTGAAAATCTTCTTCTCTACTCCTGGTTATTATTGAAACAAATTGAATACATAGTTATGATGAGCAAGGGTGACTCTACCAAAATTGTGAAATTCATAGCCCCAGGGTCAGGGGTTCTGGTGCTAGGGTGGGGCTATATAGATCATATAGTGAAAGTGCATTATTTCTTTGAAAATCTTCTTCTCTACTCCTGGGTATTATTGAAACAAATTGAATACATAGTTATGATAAGCAAGGGTGACTCTACCAAAATTGTGAAATTCATGGCCCCTGGGTCAGGGGTTCTGGTGCTAGGGCGGGGCTCTTTTGATTATATAATGAAAATGCATTAATTCTTTGAAAATCTTCTTCTCTACTCCTGGGTATTATTGAAACAAATTGAATACATAGTTATGATAAGCAAGAGTAACTCTACCAAAATTGTGAAATTCATAGCCCCAGGGTGAGGGGTTCTGGTGCTAGGGCGGGGCTACATAGATCATATAGTGAAAGTGCATTATTTCTTTGAAAATCTTCTTCTCTACTCCTGGGTATTATTGAAACAAATTGAATACATAGTTATGATGAGTAAGAGTGACTCTACCAAAATTGTGAAATTCATGGCCCCTGGGTCAGGGGTTCTGGTGCTTGGGCGGGGCTATATAGATCATATAGTGAAAGTGCATTATTTCTTTGAAAAGCTTCATCTCTTCTCCTGGGTATTATTTAAACAAATACATGGTTATGATAAGCAAGTATGCCTTTTCCAAATTTGTGAATTTCATGACCCCTGGATCAGAGGTTCTGATGTTAGGGCGGGACTCTATTTATTATATAGTGAAAATGCATTAATGCTTTAAAAATCTTCTCTGCACCTGGGCATATCAGAGGCAAAAAGAGTAAAAGTTTTAATAAGGAAGGGTATTTTTACCAGATTTTTGAACATCAAGACCATTTGGTCAAGTGTTCTAGTCCAGGCCAGGGCTCTATTAATTTGTATTCTACTGAGAGGAGTTATTCCCCTTTGCCATTTACTTGTGATAATTAATCACTGTAAATAATGTACTTGAAAGGTTAATAGAATAAGAGAATTATGCAAGAATTTTTATTGTATAATACAAAAAGTACTTTCATAGTTTTAATGATCAGGTAGACTTGTCTTATTAAGGTTTTCCAACCCTAATAGGAACTAATTCTCTATCCTTAAATATCAATCACGTATATAATACTCTGATATTAATTCAAAGAACTTTACAGTAGAAAAGGATTTACCAAGTGAAAGTTTCAAAAATGTAATTAACTAAGCAGTATTTAATTAATAGAAATTGCATTGAAGTCTATGGAGACAAGTGATTTGTTTAAAATAAAAATTCAGATAATAAGAATATCAATAACTACTGTGGTGGAAAGATCCATTAAATCATTAGAAATAGAATGACAATTGAAAACAATTTTTTTACCGTATATTTTTTTAAAATTGATTTTTATTACTTAAAAAAAGAGGGAGATAACTCTTCAACAAAGGTCAAGTCATAAATTAGGACACTTCCATTCTTACATGCTAATAGTAATAAATGGAGATTATGTCTAAATATACTGTGTATTCCAGCCGTACACATCTGTTATGTATTCAAATTCATTGAATCTGAGGCTATTAGGGATGGAATACCAGTACCTTAAATGTTAATCAAAGACCAAGAGTCTTACTCAGGCCAATGTAAGAGATTTCCACAAGGAATTAAAAGAGTACAGATAGAGCACTGATAGTTTCTTAATATACTGTCTGGTGAGAGTGATAAATGGGGAACAGATTAGAACCTAATTTATGAACTGTTAATGAATACTAGACTAATTATTTTGTTAATCCTGATCACCCTATTTTTCTTGCTTTTGGGCAACAAAGCTTCACCTTTCAGTTCATTTTATACTCTACGGATCCTCTAAATTGTTGTATTATACTCAGGTGACCGTTAAGGCCCTTGGGCCTCTTGTTATTATTATTATTATTTTTTTTTAATTGTAGATCAATACTAAAGCGACATCTTTTGTTTTAAATAGTGTTCAAGAAAGCATGCATTTCTCTGAAATTGTCGTTGTAATATTCAATGGTGAGAGTTTGCAGTGAGTGGGCACGTGAACGTTATACAAGATATCAATAAATTTTTCTTTTCCTCGATATTTACTTCTTTGGTAAACAGTGTTTGTTTTTAATTTATTTCTCCATTTACAGAAGATGGGATGTGCATGCTGATGAACTCCACAAAACAATTAAAATGGCTGGAGGGGTGGGGGTAATATCACTAAAACTTATTATTCTCAGTAATACTCAAGAAAAAATCAAATGCTAAGTTTACTTGAACATATTCTTTTCTTTGTGTATTAAGTATTAGTCACGATCATTTCCTGTGTATAGGGATTAGCAGACCTAGCAGGAAACGGCATGCCCTGAGTACCTGGGGTAAATTTATTTGCATACATGTGCAAGGCGTTGTCTAGCCATATGACACACCAGTCCCTTCAATGCTTCATTATTTTTTCATTTTCAAATGAAATAACGACCATGAAATCTACGCGAGTCAATATATACTTGCTTTTTTTTTACCCTGAGTGTATATTAAAAGGAAAAGGATCAATCATACATTTAAAACAAATTTATAGAGTTTTTAAAAATGAAATAAAATAAATCAAATCAAATAATGTATTATTAATATTTTCTGTAAATGCCGACGGGGCTTGATATTTGTTTCTGTTTATATGTGTACATGTACATGTGCATATATTAAGTAAGTAGAATTTAAAAAAAGAAAGGGAAAAAAAGTACAGAATGTTACAGCACGTGCATCTTTTTTTCCTTCAATCAGTTTATTGATTTGTTGAGCCCATCGATTAAAACAAAATATTCATGATAAAATTTCAATGAAATGAATTGCTTCTGGATTAATTTTGTTTCAGTTTCAATATAAGCCGTTTCTGTGAACAATACGGTAGCCGATTTATCAGTTTATTGACCAGTTGTGGACTTTTTCTAATTCTACGATCCAGTTTCTGAAGAAACACAGAAACAGCAACAGTCACAGACACTATTTTACTAAACCAACTTACTGCTGAACCAAGACATTTATTTATAAGATCGCCATACTGCTTCACGGTATAAGATTACGTAATCTGACAGTATTGCAGGTATCTCGTTAGGGTATTAGCTAGTTACACAGACACCTGAAAACTTGTAGCCTATCGCTCTAACACATTTGACTCTGAATATAATAAGTTTATTTTTGTGTTGTATGTTCAAATTATTTTAGGGCCAAAAATCAGCCAATAAAAGAGGGTTTTTCCGATTTGAGATGCATGTAAATGAAAATACTGATGAGCATGATCATATTAATTTCAAAAAGAAATAAAATTGAAAAAACTAGCTATGAAATTATCCTGAATATATAAGATGTAATGATTTCATTAACAACAATAACGAAAAAACGTTCATGTTGATATGACTTCTACAGTCTTACATGTTTAGCGCATAGTATTCGCTGTCAGTCATGATGATGGTGCAACATATTCCTAAATGTACACGTTTAATACTGTTACCATCTCTATCTATTATTGTTTTTCATTTTAATATTT